TGATCTGATTTAGGCATTACTAACTGAACCTTACTACGGTCCGGTTCATACACTTTTACAGTTCGGTCCATAAACTTTACAGTCCGGTCCAAAAACGGTCTAGAATGTTTTAAGATCGAACCGGCAGTCCGGTCCCGGTCTACTTTATTAAATTTAATTGAATTACTGGTCCGGTTCGGTCTAAAAATTATATGTACTATGGGTTCGGTCCGACTTTGGTCCTCTGTTTACTTTTAAGTATGAAACGGTCCGACTTCGGTCTTCTATTAAAATGTAAAGTCCGGTCCGGTCCCTAAAATAACGGACCGTGCAGAGCACTAATGACAACAGCTATTACATTTTAAGCTTGATTTAAAGCAAGCGCATTTTTTTGTTTCACATTTTCCCCTAAAATTACAACTATGAAAACATTGTCCTCCAGTTGTTAGAGCCACTATTTATATAAATTACTTTATAACTAAAAATTATAAAATTTTTAACACCAGAATCTTAAAAATATTATAGGTACACGATTTATTTTTTAAAAAAATGACATTATCTTATATGTATTTTTTTATTGATAATATACAAAATACATTATCTAAAGTTTACTAAAATTACATAATTATTATAATTATTACCACAGGTTTTTATGAAAGTTGTTTCTATTAATAAAAATCATTCACGTATTAGTTTCGTCATTTGTATGTACAGATTACGGAACAAGTTCCGTATAACTAAAATTCCGTGTCCTTTTCGTGAAAAGTTATCCACATTGTGTAATTACGCGATCCGTAAAAAATTAAGTTCCGTTTCGCGAACTGGACAAATTTTCTATCCATTTCACGAAACGGGTCAGAACCAGTGCCGCAACTAGCGGGGAGACCAGGGGTGCTCAACACCACCAAGAGGCCTCAGTTTATAATTAATTGGGGCCCCCAAATTTATAGAAGTCTAAAAAACAAAAAAATTCTCATTCCATGTACTTACATAATTACAATACTACGATCATACAAAATATTATATTTGATTTTCAGTATTGCGTATTTGTGTGTCTACTGTCTACAATCTATATTGTTGTACGTAGTCCAGTGGTGTATTGGTGAACAAATTTTTGGGTATACGCACTTTAAGCTATATTTTATTGCAAAAAAAAAAAATGTTATCGCTACGCTCGAAATATTACTTACATAATACATTACAAGCTACATTAAACAATTTGTACTATAATCTTCGCTTTTTCTATTTTTATACACAGTATTTCAGTTTKTATGTTAATTGTTAATATACTTTTAACTATTATTCAGATACTCACTCAATAGATAAAATAGTATTTTATTTATTAATAAAATTTTTGATTTTAAAATGGTGATGTCTTTCACAAATTAATCATATATCTAAAAAGTAGCAAATTCTAGACAAATATTAACAGCTGATTGGTAACTTAATTTATTAATAACAAATACAACTTTAAATAATTTATTACTAGTCAGTAGTTACTATAATATTTTCCACAAACTTATTTTTTCTTCTTGGACTTTATGTTTGTTTGGCTGATTTGGTTTGGTTCTTGAATCTTCAGCTGTTCTATGATGAACCAGCCATGTTTTAACATAATATTCAGGGTTCCAGTTGTCCAATGGAGGKCCATTTATATTAATAAACATTAAATTAGCTATGTTTACTAYTGTTAGTCTAGCTCTAAGCTTTGTACAAATATTGTTCATTAGACTAAACCCCCTTTCACACTCAGCTGTTGATATTGGAAATGTTTTACACAAATTATAGACTTCAGGCATGACTTTTTTTTGGCAAAAGTGTATTATATTCAGTTAGTTGTCGAAGACCATTGATAGCATTTTGTTCATTAAGTAAAAAACGTTTACATATACGCTTCATTTCATTTTCCCCGTGCCTAATATTAGTATTTTCTAGCCAGATGCTAATATCCATAATCAACAAATCCTGAATAATAGTCTCTTCATTGCTATTTTCAAGTAATCTATGTTTAAGATTATTGGTAATGCTTGAAATAAACTGTTTTGGATTAATAGTAATTAATTTAGTGTTAGTTGAAAGTTGAATATTTTTAAATACCATAACTTTTTTAAGTGTAGAAACTTCAGACATATGTTCTCCCGGAGTAACTTTAAATGATTCTATAATCCTTATTGTTCTTTGAATGTGCTTTTGGCCTTGAATAAGTGTAGTTGTACGTTCTTGTAATTGATTAGATAGTATAGATAGTTCTTGTAGACAATCACACATCAAACCCAGGTCTGATACAAATTCTGGACTTGCCAATCTTTTTTTTAGGCCAAGATATTTGTTTCTAGTTTTAGAATCTTTAGTTGAATCATTTGCAGCATTACAAAAATGATTACACAAAGCTGGAAATGTTTTCCATACAGAATTTATGGCCCTCCAGCTACTGGCCACCCAACGGACATCAAGAACTCTACCCAGTTTCAAAAATAAAATATCTAATTCATTACACACATTTCTGAGTTCATTTTGATTCTTAGGAGAAGTGTTGTATAAGACGTATAATCAATGAAAGATTTAAAGTGGTTTAAAGCACCTATGTCTTTTATTGAGTCATGAACTGCCAGTTCTAAACGATGGTTTAGGCAGTGCCAACTGAAAATTAGAGGATAGAGCTCTTTAAGTCTTTTTGCCACGCCATTTCTTTTACCTAATAGCACACTCGCTCCATCGCTCACAAAAGAAACCCAATTTTCTCGCAAATACTGATCATTAAATCCAGCATGATGTAAGCATTTAATTAGTTGTTGAACTATATTTTCAGCCGTTTGATTTGATAATTCAACTAAGTCTAAAAATATGAAAATGGGGTCTTCACAAGAAATAGCTGCTCGTATACATACCACCACTCCACTCAAAGTACTTATAGTGGTAGATTCATCAATTAAAACTGATAATTTTGCTTCAGTTTCAAATATGTTAGAAACAATTTTTCTTTTCATCATAGATGATATGTGGTCAATTATATTAGTAGATGATAATCTCGAGTGTAATGTATTTCCAACTTTTAGACCATTGAGTTTTTGAAGTTCTATAAGTTTAATGTCGTCATCAAATGGACGATTACACTTGGCAATATAGTATGCAGTACGAAAAACTAAATGAGTTGATTTATTTATTTTGTTTTCAGTATCTTCAAAGTTTTTTATAAGTGAATTTGTTTCTTTTTCAGTTGCAACATTAAAAGCAGTTGTATGTACCTTAGAAGAACTATGTTTTTTAATTTTATTTCTTAAGATAGCTAGCCGAGTTATTTTTTTGGGATTATCACCACTGTCTATTTGGCAATTAGTCCATTCTTTTGCCATTTCAATATTATGGCTTTTAAAAGATTTAAATTCAGCAAATT